TCCTCATTCTTCTAAGCTCAATGAGAAATGACCCATCTACTCAACCTCTCCTCATAAGACATTCCCTCTACATCCTGGATCAAGTTAGTGAACCTTCATTGGACTGCCTCCAAAGCTAATATATATTCCTTCATGATTCTACGAAAATGTGGTCATAATAACGACAGGAGTACTGTTAAATAAGCGGCATTAATACAAGGCACCTGTGCCAAGTAGAAAGGGAGAAACATTTCCCATTGTTCGAAAGGTTGAGAACCAGGCACACAGATTTCAGGTAAATGGCAAAACTAACCGAGATAGCACGGGGTAAGCATTTTCAAATAGTGAGTGTGGAGGCTTTGGAGGCTTTGTCTGAGAGTGTGGGGGGAGGCAGTGGTTAGGGTCTGGAATATACTGTCTGAGTGTGTGGGGGGAGGCAGTGGTTAGGGTCTGGAATGTACTGTCTGAGAGTGTGGTGGGAGGCAGTGGTTAGGGTCTGGAATATACTGTCTGAGTGTGTGGGGGGAGGCAGTGGTTAGGGTCTGGAATGTACTGTCTGAGAGTGTGGGGGGAGGCAGTGGTTAGGGCCTGGAATGTACTGTCTGAGAGTGTGGGGGGAGGCAGTGGTTAGAGCCTGGAATGTACTGTCTGAGAGCGTGGGGGGGAGGCAGTGGTTCGGGTCTGGAATGTACTGTCTGAGTGTGTGGGGGGAGGCAGATTCAATCACGTATTTCAAAAAGGATTGAAATAAATACTGGAATATGAGAAGATTTTCAGGGCTTCAGGGAAAGGGCAGGGCAGTAGGACTAGTCAAGTAACTCTTAGAGAGACAGCATGAAAAATATCACTTGAATGGCTTCCTTCATGCTCTAATCCTTCTGCAACTCTATAAAGGAAGGGTACAAAGCTGACAGCTTAAAATCGATGTTGTGGTATTAGTCTGAGTGTTTAGCTCCAGCTGTACCTGTTTTGGGTGGATTGGGTGGTTGTCTGTTTATAAATGTATGTACAGACTGACAGTTTCCAGTTCGTTGTTTGAGAACAGGAAGTCGTTCATCAAGTTAAAGCATCATAAATCATTTCTTGAAGTTATTTACATAACAAGCTGGTGTTCATTTAAAAAAAGAATGGACTGTACCTATTTAAAAAAAGAATGCCTGCATTGCTTACTCATATCTCTGTTCAGTATCACAAACCATTAGAGACAACGTGGCTGTAGCTGAATCTCATTTACAACACTGTGGTCTTTCAACCAGCACATGTCTAGCATTCTTCCCTCTTCCTCTAGGATTCGCTGATCCAATGGGTTATTTTTACTGTGGGATGTGGGGCGCAGGATGGGAGTGGCTCAGTGATTGGTGGAGAGAAAAGTGGGATACATTTTCTGTTACCGCTTCCTAATTAAGGGTTTGCGGAAATATCACCTCCCCCATCTACTAGTAACCCCTTCAATCATTGGGCTTTTTTTAAAACAAAACATACACTGAAGTCGGAAACCTGTCCATTGTTTGGCCAGCTCTTTGTAATGAAGTGACTCAGGCACAGCCAGCATATTGACTTTGTAGTGGTGGAAATAAATGTGATGTTGCTAAAGTTTAACTCCCTCCTGCAATTAATCAACAAAGCAATATACAGAGAGAGCTACAGCACCAACTGGGCACAGTTCCAAATACTCACCAAGGGCTGTACTGTTTGCAGGATGCAGAGTACAGAAATATGGTCCTAGCATTAAGTAATTTCACACATTGAATTACATGGAATACCTTCCATTAAAACTGGCCATTTAGTCCAATCCATCCATACTGTTATTTATATGTTGCACAGGTTTCCTGCCATTCCATCACACTTATCTCAGCATTTCAGTCTCTCATTCTCACACTTACTCATCTCAGTTTCCTTCTCAAAAAAGAATGTCTGAGATAACTGTCTCGAGGAATATAAATAGAAGATGCAAGAAATGCTCAGCAGTTCTGACAGTATCTGCAGCAAACAGAAGGCAATGAATATAAACAAGGCGAAAGAGAGAAATCGACACTGCACTGGAGAGAAATCCTTCAAGGTGGGCTTTCCCAGACGAGAAGTGGCAGTGAATTAGATGCTAAAGGACAAGCAAAATACAGCAAATGCTGGAAATGTGAAATGTAGACAAGTAAGTGCTTGAAAGACTTTGCATCTGGTAGCATCTGAATTTTTCCAACACTAACTGTCTTCATTTCAGATTTCCAGCATCCGCAGTTTTTTGCTAAGTAAATCCCAGTGCTTTGTGAGCATTTTTAATTGCTTTGTTGATTTGTGAGACTGTTTTTAATGATCTGTTCACCTGTATCCCTAGGCCATTTTAGAAAAGCAATCTATTCATGCTGCCCACTTAATCTCGACACAGTACAGTTACTACTGGGTTTTAATTAGCATTCCACATTTTTTCAGGGCGGAGGAAGAGGAAAGTCATCACCCAGTTACCTGGCTCTGTGCTGAATAGTGTAAGTACAGATCCTTCACAAATGTGAACCCATTGGGAACCCAACAGTTCTTTCATTGTCTTCCTTATGGCCAGAACCACAGCCTCCAGCATGAAAATGCCAAAAAAAATTATATTTCTGTAGTGCCTTTCATAACATCAGATCACAACAGATGACTTTACAGAAATGTGGATTCTACTCACGTAGAAAAAGCAGTCTTTTGCTATGAGGAAGCTCTCACAAAATGTCAGTCCTAATTCAATTTTTAAAAAATTCCACTTCAATCTCTTCTTTGCTGAGTTGCTACTCGACGGACAGGAAGTTATCAAAAACTCACAGGGATATCTCAAGTATCACACTTGAGTTTCACTGCAGGCAGTTCAGAGAAGGTTCACGAGGATAATCTCCAGTATGGAGGGATAGTCTTATGAGTAAAGATTAAACAGATTGAGATTCTACTCACAGGAGTTTAGAAGAATGAGCGGTGATTTCATTGAAACGTGTAAGATTCACAAGGGGCTTGACAGGGTAAATGCTGAGAGCAGTTTCTCCTCATGGGAGAGCCTGGGACCAGAGGGCTCCAATTCAGAATAAAGGGGCGGCAATTTAAGATCGTGATGAGGTGGAATTTCTTCTCTCAGATGGGGGATGCGGAGTCCTTGTGTATACTTAAGGCTGAGATAGATAGATTCTTGATCAGTTGGAGAAACAAAGGTTACAGGGAAAGGGTAGGAGAGTGGGCGTGAGGTGTGTCATTTCAGCCATGATCCTCTTGAATGGCACAGCAGGCTTAAGGGGCTGAATGGCCTACTCCAGTTCTTATTTCCTAAGATTTTATGGTCTTATTATCTTAAATATATTAGTGCAATTTTCCCTCCTTTCCATATCTGGTCAACTTTAAGCTTGGTTTATTTACTGTGTTTCAGTTTTTTTGAAAGTTCTTTCTATGCGTAAAACTATTAATAGAGGGTCATGAACATAGGAACAGAAGTAGGCCATTCAGCCCATTGACCCTGCCCCACCATTCTTGATCATGGTTGATCATCGCTTCAATGCCATTTTCTCCCAACTCCATATCTCTTCGTATGATTAGTCTCCAGAAACTTAATGATTTCTGTCTTGAACCTGCTCAATGATTGAGCTTCCACAGTCCAGTGTGGTAGAGAATTCCAAAGATTCATCACCCTCTGAATGGAGAAATTTGTCCTCATTTCAGTCTTAAATGGCTTGCCTTTAATGCAGAGATTAAGCCCCTAACATTTATACCTCACTGCACAAGAGTTTTGTTCTGAAGAAAGGTCACAGACCTGAAACGTTTACTTGGTAGTTTCCAGGTTGCTTCTGCTTTTATTGATGCAGTTTGTAAACATGGCTTTGTCACGTTGTAAGAATGAGAGCAGAGGAAAGAGGGATAAAACAAGCTGGAAAATATGAAATACCTTCAGGGTTCAGGTTGCATCACGGTGTCATTTTCACAAGGTTAGCCACGCTGCTGTGAGTATCACCTAACCTCAAAGACATAAGTCATGGGCTCAAGGCCTAATCCAGAAAATTGAGCACAAAATCAGGACAGACACTCCAGTGTAGTTCTAAAGGAGCACTGCCAAAGAGCCTCTTGTCCACGTGCGATGATAAATTGAGGCCTGATCTGTCCTGTCAGATGTGCATTAAAGATCCCTAGATGCTATGGAAGACAGTTTTCCCTGGCGTCCATGAAATAAGTTTAATCAGTTATTGAGCTGTTGGCAACCACACTATAGGAAGGATGTGCCTGCACAAGAGACAGGGTGCAGTGGAGATTCACCAGAATGTTGTCTGGACACTGGAGTGTGTCAGCTACAAGGAGAGACTAGATAGACTGAGGTTGTGTTCTTTAGAATGGAGAAGGCTGAGGAGAGACCTGATCGGGATCTACAAAGTTCTGAGTAGGGGAAGATAGGGAGAAATGTTTTCCCCTTGGTGGATTGGAGCACAGTTTTAAGGTAAGGAGCAGGAAGGTTAGAGGGGATTTGGGGAAAATGCTTTTCACTCAGAGAGTGGTGAGTATCGGGAACTCTTTTGCCTAAAAGGTTGGAAGAGGCTGGAAACCTCAGGATAGTTAAGACATTTTTAGATCAGCATTTGAAAACAGCAAGCAGGCAAAGCTCTAGGTCAAGTGTGAGAAATGGAATCAGAATAAATAGATGCTTAGTGGCTGGCATGCAAACAATGGGCCAAAGTGCCTTTTTCTATGCTGTAAAAACTCTTTAACTCCAAGAATTGAATAATCATTAATTGAGCCATCATTTTGACCACTTACCTCTGGTTTTCAGTATGAAATCTTTTCTAAGCAATTTCTTGACTCAATGAAACCTCAAGCTACTGACAGCTCAATGCTATTTAATTTAATTTCTTCTGATCATTCTTGTTTTAAAAGACCAAATGGTTTAACTTCAACAGAAATTGGAATGTTATTTTTCTGCAAGAATTGAAGATCCGAGCCTGTGATTAAGACTCAGGAAGCTTTCATGATCAAATACTTTTGCTGATAAACATGCTGACTGTGTTTGAAATTCTCCTTACCTGGGGTCCTGTAACAGGAAGTCTCTCTGTCATCGAAGCAAAGGACGAAGTTCTCAGTTTTCTGTGAAAGTGGTGACTTTTTTCCTGAATCTGCACAAGTAAACCAAGGGGCAGAAATATGTTTAAAAACCTTTTATCAGCATGAATCGTAAAATTCAGTCATTTAGACACTGTACTATGACAACATGGTGTTAAAGCACGTTCCTCATTATTGAGAACAGAGCAGATGTTCCTGTGGATCACAAAACCATCAAGAGTTTAGGTCTAACAACTAAAGAGAAATTGTTTCCGATGACTGCAGAGTAGAATACCCTGGAGGAAAGATTTAAGTGTCTATTTTATTCATTCATTCACTACCTAGGCCAGCATTTATTACACATCCCTTGAGAAGGTGGTGGTGAGCTACCTTATAGCATCATAGAGTCATACAGCATGGAAACAGATCCTTCGGTCCATGTTGAACATAATCCCAAACTAAAGTAGTCCCACCTGCCTGCTCCTGGCACATAGCCTTCCAAACCTTTCCTATTCATTTACTGATCCAAATGTCTTTTACATTGTAATTGTACCCGCATCCACCACTTCCTCAGGAAGTTCATCCCACATGCAAACCACCCTCTGTGTAAAATATTTGCCCCTCATGTCTTTTTTAAACTTCTCTCCTCTCACCTTGAAAATGTGGCCCCTAGTTTTGAAATTACCCCATCCTAGGGAAAAGACAACCGCCATGACCTCTATCTTTATCTCTCATTATTTTCTAAACCCGTACAAGGTCGCCTCTCAACCTCCTACACTCCAGTGAAAAAAGTCCCAGCCTATCCAGCCTTTCTTTACAACCCAAACCTTCCATACTGGCAACGTCCTGGTAAATCTCTTCTGAACCCTCTCCACCTTGATAATATCCTTCCTCTAACTGAGTGACCAGGACTGGACACAGTATTCCAGAAGAGGCCTCACCGATGTCCTGACCAACCTCAATATGACTTCCCAACTCCAATACTCAAAGGCCTGAGTAATTCTTGAACCACTACAGCCCATTTGAAGTACATAGACCCACAATGCCATTAGGAGGGAATTCCAGGATTTTGACCCAGCAACACTTAACTTTTGACCCAGCGATGCATTTCCAAGTCAGGATTGAGTGGATTGGAGGCTTGTACTTGATTGTGTGTGAGAAAGAGTGTGTGTGCATGAGAGAGAATGTGTGTGTATTTCTGTGCATGCGTGTGTGTGTGTGTGTATATGTGTGTGTGTGTGCGTGTGTGTGTATGTGTGCGAGAGAATGTGTGTGTTTCTGTCTCTGTGTGTGTGTGTGTGCGTATGTGCATGTGTGTGTGCGTATGTGCGTGTGTGAGAGAGAGAGACTGTGTGTGT